AATTTTCTGTGTGCACTTAAGCAAACAATTTGCTTTTGCCTGTTCCTGGGCACTGCTTTTCTCTAGATTCTTCTATAAAGTGCTATACTTCCAGCAGAGGAAGTATTTTACTGTAAAAACCTAGCTGGGTTAGAGGACTCTGAACTTATTAAACACGCAAAAGCTACATTACATTCACTGTCCTTAATTCTTTTTAGTTTCCTCCTTCACCTGTTTGAATCCTTTCTCCCACAGTCCAGCCCTGTATCATCTTCCAGCTTAAAAAGGGAAGTCTATTCCTGTAATCAACTTCTGCTTTGCTTTTCAGTTCTCTTTCTTTTTTATATACTCTGTATAATTACTGACTAGTGTTCTTTTTCTCTTGCTTCCATGTAAGTCTGAATTTGACCCTGCACTAGATTAAAATTGTTCTAGGTGGTGTTTCTGGTGGCCACAGGCCATTCATGTTCATCCTCTGTGATATGATATGAATATTTGACAATTAGACGTATTTTTTTTTTAAAATGTTGTTTTTCTCTTCCCTTCCTTAGCTCTGTCTAATTGTGCTTTTCCTCATCCTCCTGCAGCATCTGACTGTAGGAGTGTCCCTCCAAGTCTCTAAGAATTCCCAGGAGTTACATTGCCTCATCCCCACTCCTGACACTGTACTCCTGTGCTTTGCCTCTCTTCTGCAGGCCTGTCTCATTTTGTCTGAATTTGATACCATCTCATCTCTTCACTGTATCTTCAGATATTTTCAGTGTCACTCTGAGCCCTGTCTCGTTCTCTTCCTGAAGCATCAGCTGTGGCAGGCCTGTCAGAGAAAAGCTACAGGACTCTAGATCCTGCGTGATCTGCGGTGATGGTTTTCAGGATTATATATGTATATGTATGATATAAAAACTGATCTCTGTGTAATGTGAATGGGGTTTTGTGGTGGGTTTTTTTTTTTTCTTACCCAGAAGTATCAGATACTTTGTATGGAAATATGAATTTGTTTTAATGATTTTGTTTAAGAGGTCAAGAGATCCTGTTTTCCCAGAAGTGGTGTTGGAAAAAGTGAAGTGTAGGCATGAGATGTTTGTTTGAAAAGTTTAGCAAGCTGTAGTAAAATGTGCCAAGTCTGTATAGCTCCCAGATGGTCAGTAGCACGTCTGAAGAGTGCAGTTTTACTACTTTAGGGGACCTATGAGTTTTCGTATGCTGTTAAATAAAAATTGGCAAGACCCATCAAGTCTTCTACACTGAAACCATCCCAGATGTATCCAGTTCTCAATATTTTATGCCTTTTTATGGTATTGCAATAAAGAAGAGAAAATAATAATTAAGTTCTGGTTATAATTGTATGATGGTTTGTAGTGAAGTGTACTATTTTACTGTGATCACTGTGGATAGATAAAACTAAGTATACTGCATCTCTCTACTCACATAAACAGTAATGCAATACTCCAAAATATTATAGTCTTTTCTTAAAATGCTTTGTATTACTGGAGTTTAGATGCTTAGTTACAATGTATATGAGGATAAGGGTTTTACTTTTGCTGGAAATAGTTATTTGATATTCTATAAAATCGAGATATGCCCGTTATTAATATTCTGTGATGTCTTTACTGCTACATTAGATACATTTTTATAGTAATCCCAGACATCTAAAAATTAATGGGTTTATTTGCTGTAAGATTATATTTTGGTTAAAATTTATTTTCATTTAGCCAAGAGATCATTATGTTTCATCTTAAATCATGTATCACTGAGGTTAGTGAAGTCTTAGTATCATATAATCCTAAGGAACTCTAGGTGATTTTCTACTCCAGCTCTATTCCTTGCTCAAAGCAAGGTCAACTAGAGCAAGTTGATCAGGATGTTGTCCAGTTGGGTGTTGGATATCTCCAACAATGGAGATATGCTTAAAAACAATTTCCTGTACTTCAGGAAGCACACTTACCTCTGCCTATTGCTTCTTGTCCTGTCACTGGCCACGACTGTGAAGGGTCTGCTTCTTTACTCCCCCCCCTTTCTCCTTCCTAATAGGGTATTTTGTTACACTTTGATAAGATCTCCTTTGAGCCTTCCTTTCTCCAGGCTGCATAGTCCCATCTCTCTCAGCCTCTCCTTATATGACAGATGCTCCAAACCGTTAATCATCTTCATGGCCCATTGCTAGAGTCATTCCAGTATGTCCATGTCTGTGCCATACTGGGCAGCACAGAACTGGACCCAGCACTCCAGATGTGGTCTCACCAGAGCTGAGGTAGTAGATCACTTCTGTATCTGCTGGTGATGCTAAGGCAGACCAGAATGCTGTTGGGCTTCTTTGCTGCAAGGGCACATTGCTGGCTCGTACTCAACTTCTTGTCCCCCAAAACCCCAGATCTTTTATCTGCAAAGCTTCTTTTCAGTCAGTAGACCCCAGCCAACTGGTGCTTGGGATAAGCTGGGGATAACCTCCACTTTGATAAATGTTGGAGGTTTCTGAAGAAAGTTATATAGCATCACCACCAGTGCATGGATCTACTTTTTGGGAGTCTCATTCTTGTTTCTGAGATGTTATTTTTGATACAAGTTATTTTAATTTTTGAAGGGTTTCATATCCCTTTCTCTGAAGGGACATAAGATTCAAAAGCATATCATTGTGAGTCAGCTGTGCCATAGTGTGTGTTCTGAACATTTGTGCTCTCTTTCTCTATCAGGCATATGGGAAGAAATTCTGGTAGACCTCAGTGGAAAAGCATTAAACTAAAATTTGTTACTTTACTTTTGCCAGCCATGACATGGTGATTTTTGCAGCTTAGCTGATGCATACAAGCTTGTTACCTGCTAGTCACTCAGCTGTATGTGAGATTGTTTACTTGCTAATAAAAGAAATAGGAATAGCAAATGGAATGCTTATTAAATTTTTGTTAATTAAACCCAAAGCAGATATCATATTTATGTCAAAGTTTTCCTTTTCAAAACTAGTTCTCCCTCTTTATAATGGTAAAGGTACCATAAAGGTCAGCTCAAAAAAAGATACTGAGAGAGTGTCCTTAGTTTTTCCTGGAACAATGATGGAAACATCTCTTTTCCCGAGTAATTAAAAGACTAGAACAGTCATGTTTTATCAGACTTTTTCTTAAGGAAATATATGCATTGAGAAGATCAATATTTCACAGCTATGTGGCTATCTCCATGCTGTAAACTGGTAGTCAGCAGTCAGTCATTCTGAGCAGGTGTATACCTGCAGACAAATCTTCCTTCTACAGCCCTCTTCTGTTGTGTTCTCAGTCTGGGGGAGTGATTCCAACATTCTGTCATCACTCCTCTTGGATCACACTTTCCGAGGCTCACAGGCAGAGTTGAGTAACTTACTGTTCATACACAGAACATGTGTAGCACAGCATTTCTGTGAATGGTCAGTATCTTTTCCCTTGCCCATCTTTTTTCTGTCAGCAGACTGTTGGCAAATGGGAAGCAAAACCCAACAGGATTTGGGGGAATATTTCGTTATATTTGACACTCTCGTCAGAGGTTGCCTGTTCTTGCTATGAGTTTTATCCCATTCAGATTGGTACTTTGAGCAACGATGTCCCCTCCATAGAAGTAAAAATGAAGATTCCTGAAATGCAACTTTTACCTTGAACCTTTTTATTTGCAGAATGCCAGTGTTCTTCCTTCCTTTCTGGTTACTGATGCTACTGTATTTGCTCTGTTTTCCAAAATCATCAAATCTTTTTTTAAACTTTTTTGATACACTCACAATATTGCACCTTGCTGCATGGCCAGGACACCACCTAACTGAGCTGAGGACATTGCTTCCTCATGTGGGTTTTACTGTGCTATGCCTGTGCTAGGTCTTGAACAAAACTGTAATCTTCTACTCAAAAAAGTTGTTTTGCTGACTAAATGACAGTGTAAGGCTTCTGCTGACTTCTGTAAAAAATGTGGTGAAATTTCCTTTAGTGTGAACACCTGCCCATGGGGAATGAACTGAGATTACGAATGCACAGCTGGTGGCTAAACTTTGAGGAGATGTGAAAATTTATTGAAACATTCTTTGCTTAGCACATTAAACATCGTACTTATCAGTGTCATTGACAAACTAATGATACCTGAATCATATTGAGGGTTTGACTTCAGTTGCGTTGCTTTTCCGATCTATTCTTCTGTTCCCAATTGGTTCAGAACTTTCAAAACTTACTCTCAGAAGAGTAACTGCTTTCATACCTTTCCAGTGAAATTAGTATAAATATAGGAGTTCCTACACAGTTCTATAACAAAGGTGGATTTTGAAACAGATTCGGAGAACTTGTGGCACCTCACAGTCATGTTAATGTTAATATGAGGCTGAAAGACTGCACCCCTGTAACTGTATCTTACTATGCTGTTAAAGTTTTTCAGTATGGTTCAAAACTCTGGTATGCGTTTGTCAAGACAAAGTATTTGTCGTGCAAGACAAACACCTACTTTTTATTGGGTTTGGTCAACTGTATCTGCAATGTATTATGAAGGTACTGTATACCTTCCCAAAGTTGAGTGATTTCAATGTATCTGTTTACTTTCAGGTTCCTTCTTATATTTGTATACAAAAATTACCCAGAGGTCTTTAATATCTTACAGTACAGAAATGCAGGAGAATAACTCCTACGTTTCAGCCTTTTTAGACTGAAAAGAAATTTTAAATTATGACTGTAGCAAGGCATGTTGGGTTCAGATTATATTCCTTTATGCCTGACTAAAGATGATTTTGGCAATGAGGGAAATTTGACTCCAAGATTCCTAATTTTAAGTCATTGCTTTGCCACAGGTTTCCTATGTTGACTTTTGAATTCATTTGAGGCCAGTTGTACTTAGCATCCATTTGGTCAGAAGAACCAATAGCCAGTTCCTGAAAACAGTTCAGCATGTCTTACAGGGAAGTGGTTAGAACAATAATTAACACTAATGAGATGCCATGGCACTTTATTTACGACAATGTCAGGATATAAATAGAAATATCTAGTATCTTTAAATATAGTGAGACTGTAATACTGTTTTAACTACAGGTACCGAGAGGCTATTCACAAGTGGGACGAAGCACTTCAGTTAACACCAGAGGATGCTACGCTTTATGAGATGAAATCACAGGTAAAGCATGACAATTCTTTATCAGTTTAGAAATTAAAAAAACAGCCATTGTGCTTGTGAACAGATACTGTGCAACATTGTGTAGTTGTTGCGTACATAAACAACAGCATAATTTTGGTTCTTCGTTTTTCCCAGCGCAACTGGGTATCTTTTAACTGGGATTAAAATAACGGTGAAAATCACAATAAACAACATCTTTGTTAAGACATGAATTAGGATGTTGCAGTGTGGAAAAAGCAAATGAAATATTTAAAAATTGTATTGGGAGGAGCAAGGAGGGCATTACTATAACAGATTTGCAAATTTGGCATTAAAAATCTGCCTGCTCTTTCTAAAGATTTGGGTTAACACCATCAACTTTAAATAGGGATACTGTATGACAAAGATATGCTCCAGTCTGTTTTCATGTTATTACACAGATTAGTTACTCTTGGAAAAGAGCATTAAACAGAGTATACTTACGATGTCAAATTCATCTGAGCCTTTATTTTAAAGCTGTTTTGTGGAAAAAGGCTTGCAACCATCAATGCCTCACTGAAGCTATGAGATCAGCTTGTAATTTCTGTGTCTTTGTGTGACTTAGATGGCAAAAGGGTCAGGATCCATTATTTTGTTTGGATTGAGGAGCTTTTGTCTCCATCTGTATTCAAAGGTACAAAAATACATGTTTTTTTTCTGTAATAAATAAAAATGCTCTTCTGCAAAAATTACTTTAATTTGGATTGAGGATGAGAACAAGAAATGTATGGCTTCGTTCAACCAGCTGGACAGATGACAGTGGGAAATTTCTTTTTAGGGAGGTAGCTACTCAAAACATGGCTGAAAATGACATTCTTTAAAGCTTGGAGAAAGGAAAAGAGAAAGCAAAATCGTGGTGCTTCAGTGAATGCATTGTGTAACTTTTAGGAATCTTGCTATATTATTTAGTTTTTTAAATTGTTGTTACTGTAATTCTTGTCTTGTATAAAAAAACCACACCACTCCCACCCCCCCAAAAAACCACTACAAAACCCAAAACAAAACAAACCAACAGCACCCCCAAAAAAATCCAACAAAACCCAAGAAGCAAAGCTGGCTATTTTCCAAGGTGTAGTGGATGCTCTTTTTTTTCCCCAGATGCTATCACATCTCCTCCAAGTGAAGAAAGTTTGATTCTGCAAAAGAATTTATTGAATAATCATAAGCTCATTTCAATATAGTAATGCTGAAGAAGGCTTTTGCTTTATATAGCTGCAGAAGGTTTAGATCTTACTTGGCGTTTGCATTTGTTTTGAGAAATACTTTGTGGCTTTAAAGGTTTTTCTTACTGAATTATTTTGGGAGAAGTATATTGTTGGATTGCTTTGTCAACATGTCATATGTATATCAGGGATCCAGACAGATTGTGTTTGGAAGAACTCGGGGAGGGGTGTGTATGAAGGGTTGATTTCTGACGTGCTTTGTTGATTTGAGTCATGTTGGTAAGAAGATGCAGTAATTGTTTTAACTTTAAACTGCTGAATTTTTCTAGTGCATTTCTCTTGTTCTGTATCCTACATGATGCTGAAAAGTGGGCATTTGCTCTCTGCACTTTCTTACCAGGCTAGATTTGTAGGCAATTGTTTCTTCTTAACTTGTAAAACAGGAGGCATATATATTTTTACAAAAAAAAACGCAAACTTCTGGAGTTCTGGGGTAACACAACATCTTAAACACGTAAACCTCCAGTGAATATTTACTTGTATTTGGATGCCTTTACATTGATGCTAGCTTAAATGAAAGATCTGTCTAGCCTAGTATCTTGACAACTTCCAACAGTGGATGGCTGGGAAAAAGTCATACAAATGGTACAGGCATGTAGCAGTACTTCCCCTACGATACTTTTTCCAGCCTCCAGCAAGCTGTGGCCCTGGGACTTCTCTGTGTTTATAAATGCTTGAAAGATTCTTCTTCAACAAATTTGTCTCATTGCTTACTGATCTCAGGTGAATTCTTAGCCTCTGCAGAGCTTTGTGCCGGGGACTTCCAAATCTTCAGTAATGCCCTATTGGAAGAGGCGGAATAATATAATTCTGCTTTAATTAGCAGCTTTTCAGGTGGCTGTAAAAGTTGTTAACTTATGTAGCTGTTCATTTGTACATTTAATTTTTAACTCCACTAATAAAGAAATTCTGTTAAGATGTAAAAATGGTATCAGTACTATATAGAGATTTTTTTTTCTTTTTTTTTTTTTTACTGTAGTACAGAGATCAAACTCTGTTTTGACTAAAACAGACCACCTAGCAGGATTCTTCTAGGCTGGAAAGAAATCATTCATGTGCCGTGGTGCTGGGTCCTTAACACAGGGTGTTTTTGAAGTAGCCTTTATTTTGCCATTAGAATTTCTTTTTTTTTTTTTTTTTTACTTAAAAGAAAGCTGTTTAAAATGACAGTTATGCTCAATGGGACAAATTAGCAAATCGCTCTCTTGTAACAGTTCTTTACTATGGTCTTATGTGAAGGTGGAGGTGTCCCTGCCTATGGCAGGGGGGTTGGAACTTGATGATCTTCACGGTCTCTTCCAACCTAAACGATTCTATGATTCTATGAATGCAGGAATTAAGCTAGCTCTCCAAAAGTACTCTATTTAATTGAAATTTTCCTAAAATTAAATATTTTCACAGTGGAAATAACAAGAGAACAGGGTTAGCTTACTGGGATCCAAGCTATGATGCAGAGATTCAAGCAAACATGCTTACTACAGCACCCTTCCATCAGTGCTCCAGCTGCCATACCCAATACTGAGGGGCAGTTGCCTACTTGGCACCCCAGTCCCTGGGTTTCGGCTAAATGGCAAAGGTGAGTTGGAGCAATAAGGCACACACTTTCCTGAGGAGCTGAGAAACCAGCTGTGTGACTCTTATTTGTCTTGTAAAACATCTTTACCTGTCTAATGAAACCATAGGAGAGTAATGAAAGCTGAAAGAAGAGAGAAACCCAGGCCTTTGCTTCCACCATGCCTTTGCTTCCTTTCTGGAAGAGGGGAGCAGTTGTACTATTTCTCTTTGGTTTGACTTTCTGATAGTGCATAAAGCTTCTGCTATACCGTGAATGAGAACACATTAAAAGTTTATGTACAAAATAGGGTTTTATAAAATTATTTATTGAATCTTTTAAACAAAACGTCTAATCTTTAAATGGGTAACATTTCTTTAGTACACACAAATAATAATTACTGATGGTTTTTGCAGTATGACTTATGCTTACTGGAAGCTGATTAGTATAATGTGTAATTTGATACCTTCCGACTTTTAAAGGCACTAATGTGAGCTGTAAAAATTCATTTTTGCCAAAATAGGAATATGTAATTCATTCCAAAAATATTGTGGTTAATATTTAAATGATACTGTCTTAGACCTGACTGTATTATTCCAGTCCAGCATACCAGAACAAATACTGCAGCTATTATTGTGTAGCTAGATGAGAAAGTTTTGGTAGCTCCAGATCTGGAAGAACTGTACACCAGCTTCAGCAAGGGCTTGACCAGCGTTCGGCCTATGAAAATCTGCCTGTCTGGGTATGTGAGTCACATACTAGAGGAGCTGATTCATATTAAAAATGACTTTGTGCGATATGCAAAGATTCTTTATGGTCTATAGTAATTTTCTTTCAGTGAGGAAAATTCTCCTCATTAAGTAATTTATTTTGAGAAGTAACGTTTGATGGAGTGTCTTGCATGGCTTGAACGTCTGTATGTCATGTTACGTTATATTAAGATAGTCTTACCTAGGGTTATATAGCAGCTTCCTAGTTCATTAGTATTTCCCTTCTCAGCAACAAACTTAACATTATAAATACCCTGTTGTTTAATATGCAGCTCAGATAAATACGCTAATGACACAGTAGGAATCTGTAAATATTTATGGTAAGTTCTTAAAGGTCTGTATTTTAACAGATGTAGGACAAATGTCTTTCAGTATTTTTGAAGGGCAGAAATAGTGTTTAAAGCTCCCAGTTGTCAATGACACTTGCAGGAAGTGTGTTTCCAAGAAAATATACAGGAATTGTGGAATTGCTCAATTGCTTCAAAAATCCATAGAAGTTGATGAGTTTCATTTCCATTGCTCTCAGCTACTCTTTGATCCCTTTCAAACCAGACTGTTATGGTGTATGGAGAGATTAGGGGTGCACTAATGCTGTTCTTTGCATGTAAGATCTTTTAGTGTATATACTTGATATTTCATTACCAGACTAAACTGCTCTCCTGTTGCGAGAGCAATGACTGGTAAGTAAATGTTTATGCAAGCAGTTCATTTCTGTATTTCTGTTTCAGAAAAAAAACTTAACAGCCTAGTGTTGATTCTCGTGTTAGATAAGTAGCATCATAAGTAAATTCAAAGAATTGTATGAAGAGTATGTATATTAATGCGGTCACTAAGACTGCTTGAAATTCATTGTGGGCTAGGTTTCTTAAACATTAACTGGATTATTTTATTGCTGCTGTGAAAAATTATTTGAATTTGGGTCTGAACGTTTATATGCTGGACTACGTGGGACTCTTTCTTGGGTGAAGAGAGATGTCAAAGGACTTACTGCATTATGATATATATAACAAACTGTCTTGGGCATCAGGCACTCTTCTATTCTACACCACTCCTGAGAATTTACCTGGCTCATGTTGCTCATCCAGTGATATTTCCATCTCAGATAACGTTGTCAAACACACGGTGTTTGATATGATATGATAGGATTCCTAAAGTACACAATGTAATTGTTAATAGAAACAAGTAAATACAAATGTAATCAAACAGTCAGGTTTATGTCCATTTAATAAGCTTTTTGGATGTTTGTCATCAGCTGTCTGAGGATCTAGTTTCTGTACAACCCTGCATCCCGAGTTTCTTAATTTGGATTCATTGAACAGGACCAGGATTTCAGATGTATGTCTTTTTTCTTTCTTTTTTTTTTTTAATATGCCAAACCCATCATACTGATATTCAAATTATTCCATTTCCCCTCTTCTAAAGGTTTCCTTAATCTTGAACTCAGTGAAGAAATAATATCAATTTCTAGCTATCCATCTTCCTGCTTAAGAAATTATAAGGCTCCTAAGACATGACCAGAATCACAGTCCCCAGTTTAGGTTATACCAATTCAGCTAATAATTGCTGATTATTTTAAAATGTCTGTTTGGTTGTTTGGCTTTTTAAACTGGGATGTAGTGAGAAGAATTTGCCATCAAAGTGTTTATGTAAACTCCAGAAAGCTACTTACGGGTAGGAAGAATTTTATTCATCTTTGCTTTGAAATCGGTTTCTGGATGGAAGAAGGAATTGGGTCAGTTTCACTGGACTTGGAATGTATCTATATGTAGTGATTCAGCTTCAAGACAGTGAGCTCATCTAAAACCGGGACTTACTCAGATTCATAACACTTCCAAAATACAGTGGGTAGGACAGGATGGGTCATCCTGCTGCCTGGATTTTTAATACTTGGTCAGTCTCCTGATGACAGTTGCTATGTTTAATTGGTTGGGTTTTTTTGCCACTGAGTTCTTCTAATCTCATACTTTTTTTTTAAAAACTAGATGTATTAAACTAAGTCATTGTAGTAACAGGAGTGTTGTTTAGATGCGTGTGATAATGGTAAACCTATGTTGGAATAAATTAAGTTCTGAAAATCCACCTATGGAACATCTTTGTAAGACATTTCCTTCTAGTCATTTTTAATATATATGTGTGCATGAGAGTCCTGAGATGTTTTTTCTGTGGTTTTTTTGTTGTTTTTTTTTTATTTCTAATGGTTTGATTAGTTTTAAGAATGTGTTCTAATAAAGTGTTATCACTATAACTGGAAAAAAAAAAATCAAATGTGCAATGAGGTTAGTTGACTGTGAACCTTGAATGCCATCCTGCTAAAGAATTTTGCAAAAGAAAATTCACTGAAGAAATTAATTTGAGAGTGACAGGAAAGGAATAGAATCTTAGTGTGTCAGCTCTTAGAAGGGTGTTTGTAAGCAAACACACACATGCTCATCTTTACCGTAGGTGATTCTGGCAAAATAGCCCTTTGTTGCCATAGCTTGCATCAAAATAGATTAGAAACCTATTTTGCTAGTAGGATTGTCTCTTTTATGAAGGTTTTCCCCAGTGTAATTTTGATAAGTAAAAGCTTAATATCTTCATACTCTCAAGTGCAAGGTTATATGTTGGTGCCAAAACATTGAGGAAGAGGGATTTAAATGGACTTTTCAGCGATACATAGTTCCTCTGTGAAGCATCATGCTATTTGTCTGTTCACTGAAAAATTTTCTGATGCAACTGAATTAGTTTATCTAAAAAGTAAACATCTGTTTAAAAAGAAATATTACATCTGAGTATGCTACTTTATAATAATAGTTTGTGACCTTATTAGAATAATGCTTGCTTGTTCCTGTATTTACTAGTAATCTGAATGTTTTGCATTCACAGATCTGCTGCAGATAAGAGAAACTGCACAGAAAAATGCAATTGAACTGAAAAGTTTTGGAAAAATACATAGTATCCATACAAACTTTGTTTACAAAGCGTGGTCATTGAGAGCTGTTAAGGAAAAAAGGCAAAATGACTTTAATAATAATAGTAATAAAACTGTGGGTTGTTTTTTAAAAGTTTTTAGGTACTTCGAATTCCAGTGTCCAGCCTATTAAATGGAATAAGAGAAGCCATAGGACTAATCTTTAGAAAAATTTAATCTTACTAAAACAGCAGGAGTATGGATCCAGAGGGTTTATTGGGAGCTATGCTTCCTTTTTTTCTTGGGTACAGGATTATTTTCTGGAGTAAATATTTTTCATTTTTAACTGTGCTCACCCCAGTGCTGTGCAAGTATTTTAGGTTAATTAAATACTCAGGATTATTGCATTTGAATCCTGTACTCCACACTCATATTTATCTATTTAATATGTCATAGAACAGTAAGGTTAAATAAATTCTTTTTGCACTTCAGCAATAGTCGTAATATGTTCTAATATTATTCATCATGCTTGTGGGTCAGTTGGGATGAAAGTGGTTGCCCACACATGAGTCTTACTCTTGTGGTTGACATTCTCATCATACTGTAGGAATGCAGTTGTCATTTGTTTCTTAGACTGGTATCTATCACCATAGCATGTGGGTGTCTGAAATCATGATCTCAGAGTGATGCAGGTCTTCAGGTAGTGTGCCAATCTCATGGTGGTCTTGGAAAAATACAGCAAGGTTTGAGCCATGTTAGGTATCGTTAAGTGATTTATAGGCTTAGTTATGGAGACTGAATGCAAGGAATAGAATACTATGGTGACAGGGTGACACTAAGCTGTACTGCTGATTAAAAGAGCACTTTTTTTTTCCTCTTTTTCTCTTTTTTTCTTTTTTTCAGTGTAAGTGACTTCATGTCTAAGTTAGGCTTTGCTATTGCAGAATGATTACTCTCCAAATATGACAGTAATTGTTAAGGGCTCCTTCCATGCTGAATTACAGGGATTGTATTTCTATAGTTATATCATGCACACTGCAACTGTATTTGGTAGATTCCAGTCTTCTGTTAAAAAATATAACCTGGGAGTTTTTCAACAATACTTGCTTATGTATTGTGTTTAATTCTCAATGTGCTTGTCCTTCAGTGTATTCTGTTAGGCTTTTACAGAGTATGGGGTTTGTAAAGAGGAAGGGAGAGGGAGGGACACCTTCAGAAGCAATTAATCTACTTCTAATAGAGTTGCTTAAATAGTTCAGATGAATCATCCTCTGTCATGCCTGTTTCTCTCCGCGGGCCATGGAGAGAGTCTGGGTGACTATCTGTGATCAGACAACTAACTCTTAAACTAGAAAAAGCTAGGTGAGATGAACCTTTCCTTAGTTACTGAAATAACAGTGGTTGCCTGGGTAATCCCAGAAAACTTAAATCTGTTTTCAATTTTGCTTATTCTTATTCCTCTTATTTTCCTTTTCCTGTCATAGGTCCTGATGTCTTTACATGAAATGTTCCCAGCAGTGCATGCAGCAGAAATGGCTGTCCAGAGAAACCCACGTTCCTGGGATGCCTGGCAGACTTTAGGACGTGCCCAGCTTGGATTAGGAGAGATAGCACTGGTAGGAAAATGCGTAACATTAATATGCTAAACTTGTAAACTGCATCCTCTGAGTTGTGTGTGAGAGAGTGAAAGTACAGAAATACCAAGGTAGCTGAATGTGTCTTTATGTAACCTGAAAGTAAGCAAGGAAAAAAGTTGTTGTTACTTATCTTGAGTACTCCCTTCACTTTGTTGTTTTTCACAAGTGCTTCCCGTGTGGTTTTGTTGCTGGGCTTGTGGAAGACCTGCCTAGCTCAAAGCCTTTTGTGTTATATACTATATTTATGTGGTGGCTTTATGCAATGGAATAATTATGTTTACATAATTGCACATACTACATTCTGGGTATGGTACTGCGACAGCGCAGCTCACCATAGTTTAAAGATAAAGGTACTGTGAAGTTCCAGTCGATATTCAGGCTCAATTTTATACATGCCTGCTAATAAGATTCTATTATCTTGTTTTCAATGTCTCCTGCTGTCCTGCTTCAGGTGCAGCAGATCATGTGTGCTCATTCATGCTTCCTTCTAGCTCCTCGACCCCAAATGGAGCCTGAAGTTGCTTCTTTTCTTAGTAAGACAGTAAAAAGGCTGGGAAGCTCTGCAGCAGCTGGAGTTCATCTTTTCTCTAGCTGCAGCTGCATGCCATGGTGCTGCAAAGGGAGACTCTTACCCCATGTCAGATCACCCTCAGCCTATAGGCTATACACCTGTAAATAATGTAACTTTAATAGTTTTCTGCTAGTGAGTGAACTTTTTAATTCAGACAAGTTCACAAAAATCCATTAGAAAAATAATACATTGTGAGCTGTCAGATAAAAAAAATACTGGGTTTATTTTATTTCTCATAGAAGTAGCTGTATGCTGGTTCGATACAAATAATTTTGTTGTTAATTTAGAGTGTTTTTGCAAAGCTACAATGTTTGGAGCGAAAGTTTTTGAGAATAAAAAAATAATAATTATTTTTTTGACGGAGGCTAGCAGATCGTGCAAAATCAGTTTCTTTTTAAAATGTTGTAAGGAGCAGTATTTAAAGAAAAACAACAAAAAAAACCCAACCCAAACAATGATAACATAAGACAAAAGCTGTGTGTTGCAGATGTGTAGCGTGCAACCTTATGTTGGTGCAGTATCATAATATGAAATATTTAATATAAATCCATGCATATCTGCATCACATCACGTAATGGGTGACATTCCGTAGCTTCTGTGGTGTAGAAAGTAAGAGTAGATGGTCTCTCCTGTCTGGATCTACAGTCTACAAATCTTTTTTTTTTTTTTTTCTCCTTTTAAATGTCTGAAATTGTTGCTTTAAATTATGTCTGAAATTTTTAAATGCATTAGTCTCAGGAAATTCAGTTTTATTTTCTGCGAGAATCCTAGGTAACTGATGCTGCTTATTCTATAAAAAATGCTACAGTTTCTCTCATGTGGTTTGTAGGTATTGCTCAGCCTGGGATTAGATAATGATCCAACTAAGAGCCTATGGGTCAGGATTAAAGGGAAATTAGGAGCAGGGGACATTGCAGTGGGAGTCTGCTACAGGCCACCTGACCAAGAAGACCAAGTGAATGAAGCCCTCTATAGACAGATAGGGGCGGCATCACGTTCACAGACCCTGGTCCTCATGGGCGACTTCAACCACCCCAACATCTGTTGGAAGGGTAACACAGCAGGGCACAGGCAATCCAAGAGGTTCTTGGATTGCATTGAGGACAACTTCCTTCTCCAAGTGGTTGAGGAGCCAACGAGGAAAGGAGCTATGCTGGACCTTGTTCTTACCAGCAAGGAGGGGCTGGTAGTGTCAAACTCAAGGGTAGCCTGGGCTGTAGTGACCATGAAATCGTCGAGTTTGAGATCCTCGAGGCAGCAAGGAAAGCACGCAGCAGGCTGACCACCCTGGACTTTGGGAGAGCAGACTTTGGCCTCTGGAAGAAGCTGCTTGGTATGGTGCCATGGGATGAAGCGCTGGAGGGAAGAGGGGACCAAAAAAGTTGGTCAATATTGAAGGACCGCCTCCTCCAAGCTCAGGAGCGATGCATCGCTATAAAGAGGAAGGGAGGCAGAAAAGCCAGGAGGCCTGCATGGATGAACAAGGAGCTCCTGGACATGACCAAAAGAAAAAAGGAGGCCTATAGGGAGCGGAACCAGGGGCAGGTACCCTGGGAGGAATACAGAGGAATCGTTCGAGCAGCCAGAGATCGGGTTAGACAAGCTAAAGCCCAGACAGAACTCAATCTGGCCAGGGACATTAAGACAAACAAAAAATCCTTCTTTAAGTATGTCAGCGAGAAAAGAAAGACTAGGGAAGCTGTGGGCCCTCTCCAGAAGGAAACACAAGAACTGGTTACCCGTGACAGAGACAGAGCTGAGGTACTCAATGACTTTTTTGCCTCAATCTTCACCGGCAAGGACTGCAGCAGCACTGGCCATGATGCAGAATGCAAAGGCGAGGATTGGGAAAATGGAGAATTGCCCACTGTAGGTGAACATCAAGTGCAAGACCACCTGAGGAACCTGAAGGTGCACAAGTCCATGGG